CGCCACTCCGAGATCGACCGGAACGTTCTCCGGGATCGTGTTTCGCCCGCTTCGCCTTAGGATGCCCCGCGTTTAGCGAACAAGCAATCCGCTTGTTCGAGCAGCGTGCGCAGGTTGAAAATTTGCCGTTGTCGTGCACGGGGTAGCAATGTTCGCCCCGCTTGGTGCAAGCCTCGCATGCTACGAAATGGTTAGCCTCCGGAGTAGGAGATCATCGGGTTAGAATTCACTCACCTTCACCGACTGGTCTCCGGATGAGCGGGCGACTACCGGAGTCGGGGCGAGGATCCTCCATGATCTCGGAGTCGCTCCCCGCACGTTTTCGCTTCTCCGCCTTTTTCCTTCTCTGTTCCTCCTTCGTCAGCGCATCGAGACGCCGGTGTTCATCCGCTATCAGCATCTCGACCCCGTTGGCGAGATCCTCGCTCCGCAGCGCCAGTCTGGCTTTGTGCTCCACCTCCGTCTCCTGTGGTGTGGTCTCCGTGCCACCAACTTCTTCTCCTCCAGAGCCGTCCTTCTCCGGCCCCCCTCCATGTCCTCCACTTGAGCCCCCAGCAGCTCCAGACGGGGTGTTGTTGGTTGCGGACATTGTGCGTGGTGTGCGGTGAGCGTCTGGGGTGGTGGTGGTTCGGAGTCAACAAGCAAAGTCAACTTATGGAACCGAAGCACGTGATACATCACAACACGTGACTAGTTGCGGAACGCAGTGAAAATCAAACATTGGCGGAAAATTCAAGCGGATAAAATCCTCAAACAATTCATTTATTCATTTCGACATCATACCTCATCCTATGCATCCACATGACAACCACAATCTCAACCCAGGATCCCTCCGGTACTCTGGTACGACATGTTCGTCTAGGGAGCCGAACCCAAGAGGGGGATACTGTTATATCTGTGCGCACATAACATGGAAGCATTCCGGAGTCGCCGCCGAACACTCCGGAGTCTCCGATGTCTCCGGAGTTACCGGAATCCCGGAGACAACCGGAGTCCTCGGTGACTCGTTATCTTTGCAACGTGCGTCGAACTGAATGACTTACCATGTGTCTGGAGTCAAGCATATGGTTGCTACTTCTTTCCACATGCTTTAGAACACCACATGATTCACATCTCTTCTTCAACTTCTCCAACTACATGAGGTGATCAGGTTCTATTGTATTTCCGCATGGTCCCTTATCTATCTCCTTATACCTTTACAATAGAGTACTTTACTATTTAATCCCCTAGACTACACTCCTGTTCTTCAGTTTAATTATTGAGTTGCTTCTGCGCCCTGTAGTTGCTTCTGGGTTCTCTCCGGTCTCCGAATACCGGAATACTCCCCTTGTGTTCGCTCGTCTCTCTGGTAGCGCGGGTAGTGCACTCGTCCTCTGTACTGTGGCGTAGTGTTACTCCGGTCGTCTCCCTACTACTCCGGAATACCGGAGTCTTCGGTCCTCTACCGGAAGACCTCGGTCCCACTCCGCTGTGTCCGCTGGCGACTGGCCCTTATCCCTACTCCCTCCGAACCTGGATATAACAGGGGTGCACGGCGCTCTTTTACAGTTTGATAGTTCTGCGTGATTCATTTTAAGTCATCGCGGACAGATAGCACAGCGGTTAGTGCGCGGATGTTCGATTGGCAGTATTCGATCTGCTACCCTCGTTCGACTCGGGGTCTGGCCTTTAAAGCGGTAGCTTCGTTCAAGGAACGAAGCTACCTCTTTTTATTTGCGAAAGCACACCTTTCTTTGTTGTGACATTTTGTAAGCGTGCCAGTGGTTTCGAGTGCTTTTGCGGGAACGAATGCGAAAGTGTGCCTTTCTTTCTTCTCAAGTGCGCCAGTAGTTTCGAATCCCAGCGCACCAGTGGTTTCTGCGGCAGTGAATTCTGACCTGCGAGGCCAGTCAAAGTGCGCCAGTGATTTCCATCAGTGATTTCCAATCTGCAAGTGTGCCAGCAACCATGCTTTGCCGGTCGTTCTGAAAGGCGCTTTTGTTCTGCATGGAAGGGCGTCTGGAGCTAATCACAACGTGATAGCTCACAGCGCCTGTGGCAGAGAAAATTGTGACATTCAACCTCAAGCATGTGGACCCATTTTTTCAATGCACCAAGTTCAGCTTGGTGGATCCCCTTCAATTCCTCGCGCCTGCAGCGAGGTAAAACTCAGGGGTTTCAGGTTAAAGTACTGCGCCAGCAGTATTCATGTCTTCATACCAACAGCCCCCGCGACGGACTTTTTGGAAGCCTTTCAAGTTCAAGGTAAGGGATTCTAATCGACAAGCAGGGATTAAGTCCAGCATAGCCAGACCAAGTTGGACACCACGGCGGCGGCGGAGATTTTGCTTGCAGAGTTTCTGCCATACACTGTACTCTGTTCAAATTCAACAGCGCCTGCGGTGAGATTTTTGAAGGCTTTCAAACTCTTCATGCGAATCTCAATAGTAAGTCAATCTTCTACAGTTGAGCGAACTCACCAAGACCGCGCGCGCGGCAAAGAAAAAAAGAGATTTCCTGACTTGCAACCATTTTCGAAACAACCGGTGAGTAAATCAACTGCGCCTGCGGTCCGATTTTTTGACAGTCTTCAGGCCTCAAGGTATGTGCGAAACCTCCCTGCGTCCAGAGGTACAAGTCGGAGTTCAACGGCGCCTGCGGCCCGATTTTTTTTGGCTGCCCACACAACTGAATATATATCTAACTGTAGGGCCACCTAGCGCCTCGCCTGCGGCGAAGAAAAAAACGCTACATCCACCTATTTTACGTATCTCCCTCCAATTTGACGCATTTCTGAGACCTCTAGGTTTGAGTTCAGACTTCATGGGCACTCAGCTCACATCGGCACGTCTCAGCGGTTTCAGGTCAACTGCACCTGCGGCTCAAATTTCTTTGAGACTTTTGGGCTAAAGTGATTTTATTGGCAGCATCAAATCCAACTCACCTACTCAGCGCCCGTGGCGAAGAAATTTTCAGCCTAGACAAACTACAGTAAAGGTGAACATTCACCGTTGTGCAGGTTGCAACTGGAATATTATAGTTAGAGCAGGATCAAGACAGCACCCGCAGCGAAGAAATTTTCAGCCTAGATAGTGAAAGGAAACAACCACCGTTGCGCCCGCCACCCAATTTTTTCAGGTCTAGAACTATCGTAAGTTTAATTAGAATGTATTCAAAGCAGCTCACCGAGCCCATGCCCGCATCAAACAAATTTCCGGATAGCATGTTAAAGAGGCTAACAACACAATGTATCTCCGCTTACAGTATAGGTTTGTGGTGAAAACAAATTATATTCAAGGCTACTTACCTACAGGGTATGTACAAGATCAAGAACGCACCTGGTGTCCACCTGCCCCGCGCACGTCGCAGCGCCGCCCTTGCCGTACCACGTTTGAAACTCCATCATGTTCTGCGTGAGCATGCCCGTCTTGTCCGAAAAACACATACCTACATCCCCTCGTCAGCATCGCCTCCGTTAAAACAATCAATGGCGAACAATGTACTCAATCTGCCCCAAATTGTCGCTAATAAACTTCCTTCCAGATGCAAAGTCCCTCATAGTGAGCCACATTTTTCTCTGACTACATACAACCACTGTGGCTTCTTGCAGGATAAAGCCTCTATGGATCAATGCTAAATCCCCTCTGCATCGTGTTCTTGTGCAGGTTTCGGAGGAGATGTAGCTTCAATTCCTACTGGGGGCCTGTGTCTGAATTCGACTGTGTTTTTTTGCGTTGGCAACTGACTTTGAATTTGCCAACCTCACTCTTCACATGCTAGGCAGCTGTTTTGTTTGACTGATGTACGACCCTTAGATCTGAACTGCACCCTTGCCACTCACTTGACTGATTTTCAACATCCGATTCAACGGCCGTTATATTACATTGTTGGGAGCACTCTCGAAATTCTCCAAGCTTATTTGAGTTCAGTTCAACGAGGAATAAGCCTCTATAGATCAATGCTAGATCACCTCAGCTCATTGTGGCATTCGGTAATGATGATGTCGGAAAAATTGAATTTGCCAAATCAGGCCCTATAGGGCCAGATAAGATAGTGTCAGACCATCAGGTTTTTGACCCCTCGATAGGGGTCAAAAATGCTACGTATGATGTTGTATCAGACCTGAGTGGCCTGAGCAGATCTGACTGACCTTACCAGACCTGATCAGACACGACCGGGAAAATGTGGTGAAAAGAAAAACCTACTATCTCTTCATCTTTTTTCCCTTACCCTACCACTTCATGTGCTGGTTCTTCTGAATGCTTACTTACCTGTATTTCAAGGGTTCTAAACTATGCAACCACCAGTATTCGAACTCACGACTATCAAGCACCTTAACCGTTAGACTACGTGACCGATCAGTTTTATGGTGGGTCCACTCTATACATACCTTCGTTTTTTTGCCTGATAGGGCCTGATAGATACTTGTCGTGTGTTATCAGCAGATCCACCATACACACGAGGGAAGAGGATGAACTCAAGATGAACTTCAAATATATTGCAAGACTTGCAATGTGAGTTGCAGTTTTCACATTCAACACTATGGGCGCACAGGTGACTTCGGGCCAGTAACCTTCCTTTTTCTGCCTGATACATACTTATTGTGTATTATCGGCACATCCACCATACATCCACCATACACATGAGGGAAGAGGATGAACTTCAAATATATTGCAAGACTTACTCTATGAGTTGCAGTTTTTACGTCCAACACAATGCGCACACAAGTGACTTCGGGCCAATAACTGTGCAGCGGCGCTTTGGCCTGGCATAATGCTCAAATCTGCCATCAATAGAAGGGAAGGAAAGTTGAAAATTGGTGTTCTTGTATCCAGAGAGTAGTTCACTACAGAGAACATTTGTCCGTTGTGAGCTATCACTTTGTGATACGCTCCAAACACAGCCAAACGGACAGAAAAAGAAACTTTCACAACCACAGCTCTGAATCCAAAAACGTTACAACACAGCGCCTCCGAATCCAAGAATGCTGATTTAAAAAAAAAAGCTCATGCAATTCCACATGGCCAGACTCCAAATCGAACAGAGACCTTGCGAGGAAACATTGCAGGTGCTGTATTTATCTTGCATGGGTTACCATTCCGCCACCTGGCCGTGATAAATCTGCAATGAAAGAAGAAGTAAAACGGAACTGTTGATTAAAAATCAAGGCCAGACTCCGAATCAAACGAAGGTCTCACAGGGAATATTCATTGAGCGGGATTCGTCCTGTGCGTGTTATCACTCCGCCACCTGGCCGTGATTATTGGATAAATGGCCTACAACCCCGAATCAGAAGTGTTGCGACAACCTCGATAAAAAGCTCATTGGATTAAACATGGCCAGACTCCGAATCGAACGGAGAGCTTGTGAAGAAGCGCTACACAAATGTACCCAGTTCACACATGTTAACCATCATACCACTAGGCCGTTGCTTCATGACTCCGAATCCAAAAGAAACACAGGACTCCGTGAAACAAAAAGAGCTAAAAAACCCGATCTTTGCACCCAAGGCTGAGCCCCGAATCGAACGAGGGTCCGGCGGTGGGTAGTTGATGAAGCTATTCTCAACGAAACCACGAGTGCTACCGACTGCACCATTTAGCCATGATTCAGATACGACAATCCTTACTCACCTACAATTTGGATACCGAAACCAGAAGCTTGAGGAAGCACGAAGTGCTGGTTGCGATACGGAGGCGGACCGATGGCGGGCCGGTATACGGGAGATGGGTATGGGAAGGGGGATGGCCAAACAGGAAACGGAGGATGCACGAGGCAACTCTGAATCGACTGTCAACCCCTTCAAACGTAGGGAGCACGTGGGGATTGGCGGCAACGAGTCAGAAGAGACATGGAGAAGGGTTCCGTTTACTGAACGGGAAGCTGGGGTGCGCGCGGTTATCGGACGGAGAATAGTATAAAAGCCAGCTGTCTTGTACTAGGAAGACATCTTATTACCTCCCACTGCGTATACCTAAAGCTACTGCCCCTGAAGTACACCAGGGTGGGGAATTAAATTAAATGCACTCCGCTACGGGTTGTGCCGCCCAATAGTGGGACAAACCAAGGTCACCTAGGACCAGGGTCAGTCAACAAATACAGTCCGCTTCACCTCCGTTTCGATAAAATGAATTGGAGGGAATTATGGTCAATCCGTAGTTGAAAGCACGTGGTAGCAGATTACGCGGTGTACCACCAAACGGCCAGCATTCTAACTTAGCTGTGCATAACTGTTCTCATTCGGAGTTCGAGTGCATATCCTTGCGAGGAACACCACCCCATCGTAACGGAAGGCTTATCCCGCACGACCATACCACTTCCCCCATTTATTTGCACTGCTTCACCCCCGAGTCTACGAAACGGAGCCAACTCTGTATCGAGGTGTTCACAAGTGGAGAAAGAAACCGGGCTACAAAGGGCATCACCATAGTCCATTCACGCTGTGTTACGCTGAGACGGCGCAACACCAATTGTGTCGCAGTCGGGCTATTTTAAGCTTAATGAGCACTAGTTGGTGCTAGGGGACTCAGGCCATAGACTAGCTTCTAGTCGCATTATTGATTAGTGCACTAGTACCCTGTTCGGTGATATGAAGGAGAGCCAGAGTGAGCTCCGCCTGCTGGCTATAGTATTCTGCACAGTGCTAGACATGGTTACAAGTGTTACACTGGACAGGTACACTATCAAGGAGATGTACAAAAGCCTAGACATTCAATGGGGATCATAATCCGACCAGGAGAACCAATGACTGCACAGACCACGTCAAATGGGACTTAACAGGGGGCTAACCAGCTCGTCTAGACAGCAGAACTATGTGTCTAGACAGCAGGACTAAGCATCTAGATGGCTCGACAAAGCGTCTAGACGGCAGAACTATGCGTCTAGACGGCTCGTTATCGAGCTAGCAACCACAATTGACATCGAAGCTATTACCTTTGAGTGCCTTGGGCCTCAGGTATCATTCAGAGCGAGTCCGAGTACTTGAATTCGAAGTAGAAGCAGGTTCAATGATACTAGCACTCAAGTAATTGTGCTAGTAAGGTCACAGAGGGATATATGGCCCAGGGAATGATCATTGAAGTCGTTTAGACGGACTAGTATAGTTGGGCTACAAAGCTTGGCTTGTCTAGACCACAGAAATGCTGTCTAGACGAACTCTGATCAACTTCCTGGGTTGGCAATGATAGTATGTTGAGGAAGTCGAACTGAACACTTCAACATATGAGCAAGCATGAGTCAGTTCGGAGCTAAGGGGCAATGGCTCCGGAGTATTTCGGAGTTATGGGCTTTAGGCTCCGGGATATTTATAGCCAAGGCCTATGACCTGGAATTAGGCCGACGGCGAGGATAAATGGCACAAATCAGTCATATCATTTGACATTTGGATGAGGAATCACCCCGGCATGCTTATTAGATAGGTATTACATTATGGACTCTAGAACAGTATATAAGGACCCAGTAGTTACTGCTAAAAGCCAGCTCATGCCCCACTCACTGCTACGGCGGTAAGGGTGTGCTCAGGCCACTAAGCAGGGATAAAGTACATTCTCTATCTGTGTGTAAGGAAGTCTATACAATCGAAGCATTGTTTGTTGGAACATTGTGTGAACCTATAAGCAAAGCATCGCGTTGGGAGGTTGTGAGGCGGCAACTGCCTCCACGTATAAATCAGGACCGTACGCACAAAGAAGGCTTGAGAACTGCGACTGTCGTCGCGAGTGGACTCTAGCAGGGCATCCGCATTGGGTGACCAGGAAACGCCTCGCTAAAACCGACCACGCCCGGCACAGCACTTTGGGAGAACCCTGGGACAACCACCGGTCGTCTAGTCGTGTTGGATAGTACTTTGAGGTCCTTAATAAGCCCAAGTGTACGGAAAAGATCTTGGATTCAAAGGAGTCTGAGTCTGCCGCTAGTTCTTGAGAGGCTAGCAGTGCAATAGAGGTTGTCTAGACGAAGCAGCATAGCCCTTAAACGGGATTTTCAGTCCAAAGCTACACCTCCTCGCCTAGGCACCTGTACTTCGGTGCGATTCCTAGTAACAATCCTTTGCTATGTACATCACAAGCCTAGGGTCGTTGAGTTTGAGGAAGCATTGCCATGAGAGTTGTGTTGCATAGAAGAGTGTTGGTCAATAAAGTCGGATTCAGTTCCTGTTGCTGTTCTAAACCAGTGGTCGCATACTACGGCCCGGACCCGAACTCAACCAAGGAGTTTGCGCTAGTCTTTGGGAGTATAAAGGGGGGTTTGGTTGGGTTGTGTGTTTGGTTAGTGGGGTGTTAGTTTCCAGCTAGCGCTTCCATCTCCATTTGCATAGTTTAGCCAAGTCCGCCGTCAAGCGCACATTGCCGTTTCAACGCAGTACTGAAGATACCTGCCATCCGGATTATACGAGATGGGTGGATAAGTATAACCACATAGCCTGGGCATCCCGGAGTGGAACAGCATTCACATTGCGGAGCGTACCCTTCGAGCAAGTGTAGAAAACTCTCTGACCACGGCTTGTTCGGAAGGCCAGCCCCCAATGAAGAATTAAATCTTTGAGGGAACCTGGTGCTTGTTCGCTCCATACAGAGAGGACTGTAATACCACCACGACCACATTAATTTACTCCACATTAGCGTACCATAAAAACTATGCATCTCCACGACAGAGCATTTCCCCCTAGAGGATGAATTAAACTCTGTGACGACTACTTGACTCTACCCATCCCGGGTCAGGCAGTTCATAGAGCCGCAGTCCGTATCACAACACGCAAGGAAAGAGATGAATTCTCGTCACGGTAATCTGGAAAAACCTCGCGCACCGATACGAAAAAGCACCGCCGGCTCGCCGAGATGCGGGGGATAGACGGTGTTGCTACGGTTGGCGAAAACCTTGCTGTCTGTAGGAGGGTAAGGTTGTTGGGGTGACAAAAGAAATGGAAGCATACCGCTGCGTACTGGTACCACCACTGTGCCCACCGCTACCATCTGATGAGTGTGGTCCAAACCGCCACCCGCCGCCTATTACCGCCTGTGCATATCAGTGTTGGTTTGCCAATATTGGCTGAGTACACACACACCTCGAGGACGGTCAGACTGTGTGCGGGGGTAGGGGATGTTGATGGTGGAAGGAACGAAAGAAATGTTGCATCACTGATCACGGAGATGGCAACACTAATTCGGGCTTGCGACGAGCTCGCATACTTGTCCTCAATTTGATGTATCGTACGAACTTGCCTCAGTTATTTCTAATCTGACGAGGGTTCACAGACAACTGGTGAACCTATCAAGCAATGAAGATCTCCCATCGCTCGACGAAGATCCACATCCTACGAAGTGACGAGGTATACTACGACTCGGTGTTGTATTATTTAGAGGAGTCTGTTAAACTTTGGTGAGTCATTTTTTATCTCCTTCTCCTGCAGCTGTTGGGCCCTCTGAACAAATTCTGAAGTAGCAAAAGTCCGTACACAGGTCTCAACATGCAGTCTGCCTGTAGATATTATGAAAAGTCATGTCTTGTATGAATCCTGCTTCACGACATGATTTCAAACTCCGATAATTGGTAATAAGGTAATACCCTCAAGGGGAACTCAGGATTAAAATTTGGACGTAGGGTCGAATTCCGCCTAAAATGAGAGCTGGCAATGGGTGACTTTCCATAAGCATTAAATATTGCTATTAGACTTTTTTCAGCGGTTTTGCCGAGATGCCGGGCCTCGTGTCAGGACCCCATCGGATTTGGATCTGGGATTTTGCTGGTTTCGAGCCTCGTATAGAGTTTATTTAATTTTAATCTGAAGAGGGGGGGGGGTACCCCCCGACCAGATTATAATGTGGTTGGATAGACTGGAATAGACGGATTGGGATGCTTTGCCGATCCATCTGGCCCAATTGGGCTGCATGTCGTGAGCACCGCCGCATCATTCATGATGAGACTTCTCCAACTTTTGCCTCATCTCCGGCTTGCTCTCCTCCGTCTCCCAGCGTGCACTAGCCTTCCACCTGCATCAAATCAACATCGCTCTCAACTCTAATCCACACCGCTCTCAATGCAAATTGGTGTTGCCTTCAATTCATGTGCTTCAGCTGGACGATGGGACCAATACTGGTGTCGGCAGTGTTCTT